GAGAGCTTCAGGCAGCAGTCGTCGACAGTCATGACCTCCTCCTGTCCCTATACACCTACAACACTCCGGACAACCGTGAAACCCCGTCCATGGGTGTCATTCAAGCCTTATGAAGGGCACGTCGAAGTCTCGCCCTTGCCCTTCAACCCTAGGTCCGATGACTTACTTTGTGCATACAAGATCAGCACGCATATCATACCTGCAGCCAATCCCAGAGTCACCCCAGATATTCCTTTTCCAGAACCACTTCCTCGCTCTTCGAAAAGAAGATCCGAGAGGGATATCAAGAATTTAGGAGTTGAACTCATGGAACAACAGGCCCGGCTATGTGAGGACGGCTACTCCGGGGTCACAGACGAAAGGTTACTGTGGAATTGCGTCAACCGATATGTAAAAAAGGACAAGGAGGCCAAAATCAGAACGAAGGGGATCACCTTGTTCCTTGTGCACGGAGCGGGTTTTCCGAAGGAAGTAAGTCTCGTGATGCCTTTTCATGCATGCTGAGAATCTAATCGTGTGTTAGATATGTGAAACCAATTTATGCTATCTCCTAGCTGCCTGTGGCGTCATAGATGAAATCTGGTCATGGGAGTCCGTGCAACATGGGGATTCTGCTCTGCTAAACAGACAGAATCTCAGTGGTAGCTGTAAGAGATCGTTTCTTAGACCTTCCGCTTGGAATTAATTGACAACAGTTGATTGGACTGGCAATGCGAGAGACATTGCAAACTTTCTCATCAACTATATGCCAGAAGAGGTAGAAACATCATCTCTCCCTATCCAACTTCATCGAGTTCCTGCATCCATTGGTGAATCACGCCAAAAGAGTGGCTTCTCCTCCCGGACCTTGGTCGTGACAGGACACTCGTTTGGAGGTTGCTCGGTGTATGTCATTCGCAGTTCAGAAACCTGTCGAATCTCACGATATTGCACAGGACGTTAGCCGCGTTGCATTTCCCTGCCTTGTTCTCCTCGATGATACTCGTCGATGCGATAATTGATACTTTCCAAGAATCTGTGTGGGAGCTCACACAGAATGTGGTTGGGGCTACTTTGATAAGGCGCGATCAATGGCCATCACGGTGATTAAAATTTAACAATACTCTTGCATCAGAGTACTACTGACTATGATTACAGGGAGGACGCCCTGCGTTCCTTTAAATCTTCACCTGCGTTCTCTGCTTGGCATCCTGACGTCCTTCGGCTCTATGTTGATTTTGGACTGTACGAGGATGAAAGCGGATGTGTCAGATTGAAAATGCCTCCAATTCACGAGGCTCTTATCGCTGCGAACCCACGAGCTAGGTGTGAAACCTGGGAATTGATGGAAAAGCTTGACGAAAAGATTGAGCTACTGTGGATCCTTCCCGGAAAAGAAAGCCTGGATGTGTAAGTCAGGGTGGCGGAATGAAGTTCACTAACTGATAGGCGTTACCCGACAGGACGATGCTAGTGGAACTGAGGAAGCAGCGTGCTTGGCGCAGACCTGCAAATTCATCCAACATCATCTTTAAGTCATCTAGCCATCTCGTCGGTATCTCGCCTTCAATTATTTCTATGACTGACATAATCGTACCTTAGATTCCTCAGGAGTCTCCAGAAGAGCTTGGTATGTTGACATAAAAACTAATTGATTCCCATCTAACTGTTCATACAGCAGGAGTTATGGCCGACTTCCTGAACAGGAAATACGATATTTCCTCAGGGAGATCAAAGCTCTAGAATTGCGTACATAAACGAGTGTTGTGCGACACTACACCCGAAAACTTGAGCAACCAGTCCGACGTGTATATCAATGGGTCGAGTATCTATTTGTTTATGTCCTGGATAGTATTACATGGCATGGGTATTTCCCAGACATCGAAAGTACACGGGGAGAAAAACAAATTACTAGCTAATCATGAGGAACTGTCACCTATAAATATCCATCATATCTTTATTCAATGCTATAGTGACCCAGAGCTTTAAAGTCGAGCTCGCTCCGAAACCAAAGTCGACTGCGCTAGCACCTCAGCCTGAGGGGAGCTATAGACAGGCAACGTCTTGCTAAATTTCTCCCAGCACTCATCCGATATGATGGGTGACGAAACGTATGGCTCAACCTCCATAGCAGCGAGCAACTCGTCCAGGCGAGGCAAAGCCGCCAACAAAGCAGTATCCTCCATACGCATAATGGCCTGTCGCGTAAGTATGCTACGCTCTACATACCATGCAGCATCTGTCTTGATCGCGTTGATGAGATACAGATCGACGAGAGACTGGGATATCCCTTGGTCGACAGCGGCGTCATAGGCCATGCGATGTCCCATGGATTCGACCATCAGCTGACAGCGCGGCTGCACATATTGCATGAACCCTTGTGTGAAGTCGAATGAGGAGGAAACCGTCTCGGTTGCCTCATCGAATAACGAGATTTCGTGCAACGCAAGGGGGCTGTCTGGGTGTGTCGAGAGAGGTAACGTGTACATTTGCCCCAAGGTATCTTCCACAAGTCCTATAATTCATCTGTAAGTATTTAGCTTGTGCAGACATCGATGCACTGCACTGACGCATAGAAAGCCCTGATATCTTTAGTCAGTGTCATATCACCGGAGAAGGCTAAAAGTCGCCTACCTAAAATGTCACCTTCAGCGATGCTAACTCCCCTAATCTCGCTCTGCGAAACAGGTTAATTCTTGATCTAACATGACTGACCAAGAGAAGGCGTTCGTACATATAAATTGGACAGCCTATTATATTCGAAGAGGCCTTGAGCTCCCATTCTTTCAGACAGGGCATAATTTGCAAGTTGTGCGTGTTGAACCATGACCGCTTTACAGCAAGCCGCGACGCCATGTCGCACACGGACATCGAGATTCTTGTCCATGAACTGTTCGATAGCCCATTTATAAAGCGCTCTTAGAACGAACGCCTGAGCAATGGCATGTAGTAGAGGGAGCTGTTGCGTCCGGTATGAAAGTATGGGTACAAGATTTCCATGCACGTTGGTGACATGACGACGCTGAAAGTAACGCCCAGCAATGTACGATGACATCTGAAGATCAGGTATTGCCATTGAGCCAATGGCTAGCGACCCGACCATAACACGCCATATAGAGGACATAAAGTCATGATGGATTCTGTTGGACTTGTCGAGGTCCCCGAGAAGGGCTGAAGGTGGTAAGCGAACATGATGGAAGCTTGTAAGTGCATGGTTGACGGGAGCTGAGCCTCCTCTGGGTGGTAGTAACCTGGTTATAGAGCAATAAGTTTGAAATAGATGAAATAAATTTAAAGAGGCACTCGCTTTGAAGTCACCCCGTTGCACATATGATATCCGTCGTTTATATTGACAAGAAACGGTCGAGGTCCACGGCATTCGCCGTTCACGTACAGTTGTGCGAAAACAATGGCGACACATGGAAGACCTTTCACTGGAACAGTTGGCGGCATGAACCTGGGCTACCATGATTAACAGCTCTCAAGGATATACTGGTATCGTACTTGGCATCCGAGGGCAACGGCGTATGAAGATCGAATTGACCCGTTGGGAGAAGTGTCGCTGATGTCTTCATTCGAAAGATGTCTAGGCCTCTCCCCAGCTCGGTAAGGCAGAATTGACCACTGCAACGAGATCGTGTAGCGCTTCTGCAAGATGAATGTACGGTTTGCTCACATAACATCCCATCGAAGAATGTCCTCTACGAGGGAAACCAGATCAGGTCTAGTAGTTGCAGCATATTGTGCAAGCGTTCCTGCGACCAAATTGTACTGAATGATCAGTAGCGTGAACGCAGCCCCGTCTAGGACCACAATTGGATCAATGTGCATGTCCCAAAATTTTTGCGTCAAATCCAAAGTGTCATGAAGAGTAATGCCTGCAATACGAGATCAAGATGTGTCCCATGAACAAAAATGCTTCATATGCACCGTGCGCTAAGCCAATAGCCCTGGCTCTCTCGTACGAGAGGACCACTCGGGCGTCGCGGCTGAGGAGCTCGGAGCGTTTCTCGAATAGATTTGACTGACAAAGCTGCGACGTGGATGTCATGATGGAGTGAGTGAGAGAGTAAAGTATGTTACTTTAGTTCTCCGACTCTCGTTTGCTATATACTAGATAGCCACTTCCCGCGTACCTTTACAAAGATGCATGCGGACATATCTGGAGGATGCCACAGATATGATTGGCAGCCCGCTGAACGCTACACAGGTGCCGAGTCTAAGAGGACCGACGCCGTGGACTCCATGCTGTTGGAGCTCATCACCTATCTGGTCAGTTGTCGAAGTCCGAAATCTGGGCGCAAGCCCATTACCTGCACTCACTTTTGAAGGGCCTTTGGCGAAGTTTAGACGGTCGAACCTCCTGATATAAGGAAGCAATTAGAACTTACTGTGATATCAGCAACTGTGTCGAATATCGGGACAGCCACTCAGCTTCGTCTCATTTTGTCTCCTTTCCTCTCTCGCAAATTATCGCTAGAACGAACACGTCATAGTCTATTTAGGTTTGTGCTGGCACTGGTGGGACCAAAGCGTCAGCTTGGGGCGGGAAGTGGAACCGATAGCGCGAGTCAGTCTAGGCCCCGTGAAGCTCTCGAGAAAATTGTGACATCATGCCATCACTCTCGGAGCGATCATCGATTTCCCTCATGATCACACCCAAGTCTGGCAGATGGATCAAAAGAACATTGATCTGCCTCTGAGATTAGGGGTTGGCTGTCAGTGCGAGCGAGGCCAGTAGATTTCGGCTTTTCGGCATTGAAAAACCTGCTCTTCGTGTGAAGAATTGGCAGAGCGTAAGTCACAGCCAAAACGTGACGCGTGACACCTGGACGTGGTTTCAAATTTTCAACCTTCTTGATGGTATTTCAAAGAATTGTATACACACGAAGAAAATAGCGGCGAATTAGTAGTTTCCACTTCACCCGGCCAGCTATCCTTGGTGTGTCTTCCTTCGCTACAATCGCGCATAGAAGCTAGAACGATCTTAAATGACTTGGCCGCTAATCGACTTGCGTACCACACCGCACGGGGGACGTTCTCTCTTTGCTTTCCAGCCCATTGCCCAGGGGACCAAGATCTTTGCACGTGAAGTTCCTTTTGCGCATGTGATTTACAAAGATTATCGCAGGGAGGTCTGTGCTCAGTGTTTCGCTTATGCAGCAAGTACTTCCCGAAGTATCGGCGATTCACGGACTTGGAGTATCAGAAGCTGCAGGGCAACTGCAGAGACTGTTTGGTTCTGTACAGATGAATGCAAGGTCACATGGGAAAGTGGGGCGATAGGTCCCTTGATTGCAGATGTCAATGCTCTTCTTGGTAAAGCAAAGATAGCTACTCGGAGGAATTCAGCCAGGGACGGCTACGATCCGATATTGCCAAATGGTCCCACTGCACAAATCACGCGAGACTACATTGACAAAGCATGACGGATGTCGAGGATT